GGGGGGGTCCCTAAATTTGGGGGGGTCCCGAAATTTGGGGAGGGGGTCCTGGAATTTGGGGGGGGGGGCCAAAATATGGGGGGGGGGGGGGTCCCGAATTTTAGGAGGGGTCCCCATAGGGGGGGATTTTGGGAGGCTGGAAATTGAGGGAGGGGGCGTCTCCGAAATTTGGGGGGATCCTGAAATTTGGGAGTCTGGGGGAGCCCGAATTTGGGGGGAGGGTCTTCAAATTTTGGGGATTTTTTATTTTGGGGGGGCTGGAATTTGGGGAGGGGATCCCAAAATTTGGGGGGGGGTCAAAACATTTGGGGGCCTGGGGGGGCCAAATTTGGGGAGAGGGTCTGAAAATTTGGAGGATTTTTGATTTGGGGGGAGGTCCCAAAATTTGGGGAGTCTGGGGGGACTGAATCTGGGGGGGGTCCCAAAATTTGAGGAGGGTTCCTAAAATTTAGGGGGGCCTGATGGATCTGAATTTGGGGAGGGGTCCGAAAATTTAGGGATTTTGGGAGGCTGGAATTTGGGGAGGGGTCCTGAAATTTGGGGTGTTCTGAAATTTGGGGGGTCCCAAAATTTTGGGGGTTTTGGAGCTGGAATTTTGGGTGGGGGGTCCCCGAATTTGGGGATCCCAGGGGTTTTTTGGGGGTCCTACTCCATTTTTGGGTGATCCCACCCCAATTTTTAGGTGTCCCTCCTCAATTTTGGGGATCCCAGGGGATTTTGGGGATCCCACCCCAATTTTGGGGGGGCCCCAGGGGATTTTTGGGGGGTCCTACCCCAATTTTGAGGGTCCTGTGTGATTTTTTTGGGGTGTTCCTCCTCAATTTTGGGTGTCCCAGAGATTTTGGGGGGTCTCACCCCAATTTTGGGCGTCCCAGGGGATTTTTTGGGGTCCCACCCCAATTTTGGGGGTCCCGGGGGAATTTTTGGGGGTCCCACCCCAATTTTTGGGGGTCCCACCCCAATTTTGGGGGTCCCGGGGAATTTTTGGGGGTCCCACCCCAATTTTGGGGGTCCCACCTCAATTTTGGGTGGTCCCACCCCAATTTTGGGGGTCCCGGGGGAATTTTTGGGGGTCTCACCCCAATTTTTGGGGGTCCCACCCCAATTTTGGAGCTCCCAGGGAATTTTTGGGGGTCCCACCCCAATTTTGAGGGTCCCGGGGGATTTTTTGGGGGTCCCACTTCAATTTTGGGTGGTCCCACCCCAATTTTGGGGGTCCCGGGGGATTTTTTGGGGGTCCCACCCCAATTTTGGCCGTCCCAGGGAATTTTTGGGGGTCCCACCCCAATTTTTTGGGGGTCCCACCCCAATTTTTTGGGGGTCCCCCCCAAATTTCCCCCCAGGACCCCCCCGAGCCCCCCCAGAGCCCCCCCGAGGAGGAGGAGGAGGAAGAGCCCGAGGAGGAGGAGGAGGAGGACGAGGAGGAGGAGGAAGGCCCTGAGCAGGTTTGGGGGGTCCCGAACCCCAAATTTTGGGGTTTCCCCAATTTTGGGGGGTCCCGAACCCCAAATTTTTGGGGATTCCCAATTTTGGGGGGTCCCAAACCCCAAATTTGGTGGGGAACGCCCCCAAAATGGGGCTGAGGGAGGGAGGAGGGGCAAATTTTGGGGTGCCCCCTGCCCTGTACCCCAAATTTGGGGGTCCCAGCACCCCAAATTTTTGGGGAGGGTCCCAAACTTTAATTTGGGGGGGGGTGGGACCCCTAATTTTGGGGGGTTGGACCCCAATTTTGGGGGGTGTGACCTCAATTTTGGCCTTCCTGAGGACAAAGCGCCCCCCAAAATGGGGCTGAATGGGGGGGGGGGTCAAATTTTGGGGTGCCCCCGGCCCGAACCCCAAATTTGGGGTTGGGGTCCCCAATTTCGGCCCCGCCCCCCCACAGGTGCCCCCCCGGGAGGGGGAGGAGCCCCCCCAGGAGGAGCCGCCCCTCGACGAGGCCACACAGGCCCTGATCGACGGTGGGGGGTCTGGGGGATTTTGGGGGGATTTGGGGGGTCCTGGGGGAGTTTGGGGGGCCTGGAGCACAGCAGGTAGTGGGGGTGCAGGGAT